TGGCTTCAATTTCTTCCAGCGCCTGGAGACCACCGCTAGCCGTCCGTCCACTCGTCCGTCAACCCAGCCCGTCCACTCGTCCGTCAACCCGTCCACTCGTCCGTCAACCCGTCCACTCGTCCGTCAGCCCGTACACTCGTCCGTCAACCCGTCCACTCGTCCGTCAACCCGTCCACTCGTCCGTCAGTCCATACACTCGTCCATCAACCCGTCCACTCGTCCGTCAACCCGTACACTCGTCCGTCAGTCCATACACTCGTCCATCAACCCGTCCACTCGTCCATCAACCCGTACACTCGTCCGTCAGCCCATACACTCGTCCGTCAACCCGTCCACTCGTCCATCAACCCGTCCACTCGTCCATCAACCCGTCCACTCGTCCATCAACTCACCAGGTGCGTGCAATGTGTAGGGTCCCGCGGTGGCTAAGAGATGTCAACTACCTCGCCTGGTACACAGGAGGTCGTGGGTTCGATCCAGACAATGACGATGCCTGATACTGCTGTAGATGTGGAGTCTGCGTCTCTCTCTCTCGTCATCATCACAGTGGCCAGGTGATGTCGACTACCTCGCCTGGTATACAGGAGGTCGTGGATTCTACCCCGACCCTGACGATGCCTGCTGCTGTTGCTGTATTTGTGGAGTCTGCGTCTCTCATCATCATCATCACAGTGGCTAGGAGATGTTAACTACATCGCCTGGTATACAGGAGGTCGTGGGTTCTACCCCGACCCTGACGATGCCTGCTGCTGCTGTAGATGTGGAGTCTGCGTCTCTCATCATCATCATCCCGGTGGCTAGGAGATGTCAACTACCTCGCCTGGTCTACAGGAGATCGTGGGTTCTACCCCGACCCTGACGATGCCTGTTGCTGCTGTAGATGTGGAGTCTGCGTCTCTCTCTCTCTCACTCATCATCATCACTGTGGCTAAGAGATGTCAACTACCTCGCCTGGTCTACAGGAGGTCGTGGGTTTGATCCCGACCCTGCTGTGTATTTGGAGTCTGCGTCTCTCTCTCTCACTCATCATCATCACGGTGGCTAGGAGATGTCAACTACCTCGCCTGGTCTACAGGAGGTCGTGGGTTTGATCCCGACCCTGCTGTGTATTTTGAGTCTGCGTCTCTCTCTCTCTCTCATCATCATCATCACTGTGGCTAGGAGATGTCAACTACCTCGCCTGGTATACAGGAGGTCGTGGGTTTGATCCCGACCCTGCTGTGTATTTGGAGTCTGCGTCTCTCTCTCTCACTCATCATCATCACGGTGGCTAGGAGATATCAACTACCTCGCCTGGTCTACAGGAGGTCGTGGGTTTGATCCCGACCCTGCTGTGCATTTTGAGTCTGCGTCTCTCTCTCTCTCATCATCATCATCACGGTGGCTAGGAGATGTCAACTACCTCGCCTGGTCTACAGGAGGTCGTTGGTTTGATCCCGACCCTGCTGTGTATTTGGATTCTGCGTCTCTCTCTCTCTCTCATCATCATCATCACTGTGGCTAGGAGATGTCGACTACCTCGCCTGGTCTACAGGAAGTCGTGGGTTTGATCCCGACCCTGCTGTGTATTTGGAGTCTGCGTCTCTTTCGCTCTCCCCGTGGTCCGCGTGGATTTTTCCCGCAGGTCCTCCGGTTCTTTCCCACCTCCGCATTTTAGAATCAACAATGGCGTCACCACGCGTTTAGCGCCGTTGGCCGCTGCTAATCTCCATAAATATATAAAAGGCAAAGTTGTGATGATGTGTGTCTGTTCAAAATGTTCAGCGTACTTCCCGACATGCAACAAAGTTAAAATTTGCCGCGCGGGTACTTTCCAGACTGTACACCATGCAGACATTGAATTATAACCAAAAAAATACATCTTGATTTTAAAACTTTCGTGACTGCAGGGATTCATATCCTTGGTCGTTTCGGTAAAGTCACCACGTAGAAGAAAAAAATAAACGTGACTTTACCGAAAGAACCAAGAATATAAAAATACACTTTCTTATTTCGATTAAAAGCTTTCGTGACTGCAATGATTCATCTTCTTTGGTTCTTTCGGTAAAGTCACCACGTAGAATGAGAATAAAATAATAAATTGATAAAATAAAATAACACAATAATATTCTCACGACGTTTCGGCCACAACACAAGCGGCCTTCATCAGGCCTGACGAAACGTCGTGAGAATTTTATTGTGTTATTTTATTTTATCAATTTATTATTTTATTCTCATTCTACGTGGTGACTTTACCGAAAGAACCAAAGAAGACACTTTCTTATATTTTTTTTTGGGGGGGGGTAGGGGGGTGGGTGGGAGCTCAATGCATTTTATCTTTCGCACGGCAAGTGAGCTGTGACGTCACATCCGTCACGTGACCCGCGCACGTGCAAGCGTGACGCATCACAGCGTGGCGGCCATCCCTACGCCTCGCTACGAACCCGGCGACCCGGGTTCGATTCCCGCTCACGGCCACCAACACCACCACCGGCGACGATTATTATTATTATTATTTGAACCGCTCCTGGGCCTCCCCTAGGTCGACTCAGCATCAAAACGAGTAACTGCTGTGGCGGTGTGTAGTGAACATCGCCACCGGGGGAGACAAAGGCGGCCGGGGCGCGGTGAATCCAAGTCCCGGGCGAAGTCCGGGGCACGGACTCCTTTATATGGGCGCACAACTTCATCCGTCTGTAGAGGAGTAAAATGGGGACGTGACGTCACGTGTGCCGCCCAGTGCGATGACGTCACGGAACGTGGCGATGACGTCACGGAACGTGGGCGTCATGCGCGGCTGGGCGGCTCGATGACGTCACGTCTCGTCCAGTATTTAAGTTTGGGGGGGGGGGACCCCGTGACGAAAGCCGGGGTCACCGTGGGCAACGGGTAGAGCGGGAAGGGTGGAGAGGGAACGAGGGGTGGAGACGAACTCGACGAAGAGTCTGGGGTGAAGCCGGCGGGTTAGCCGTCGGAGGCGCCGCTCTTCCCGGTCGGTGGGGAGTTGGCAAAGTGCCCAGCATCCGACTCGAGGGAGAGAGACCGGAGCTAGCCGGGCTGGACCAGGACTTCGTGTGGGACCACCCCCCCCCCCCCCCCCGAACCCCTGGGAAGTTTTGATTTAAAGCTTTCGTCACTGCAGTAATTCATATTCTTAGTTCTTTCGGTAAAAGTCACGTTGAAGGGAAACAATAAAATAATGAAATATATATAAAACAAATAAATAATATATATATAAAACAATGAATAAATACACCGTTTAAAAAGAAATTAATTTATGCAAACCGACACACCTAAAGATGACCGTTTGTGTTATGGTCGAAACGTCGTGAGAATTTTTATTGTTTTATATATATTTTTTATTATTTTATTGTTTCCCTGGGAAAGTTGTCACACCCTTTGTGCAATTGTGATATACTAACAGGTCCCTGCAGGGTGGGCTGGTAGGAACATTGGAATTTCTTTTTAGACTGTCTGTGTTGTGGCCGAAACGTCGTGAGAATATTATTGTGTTATTTTATTTTATCAATTTATTATTTTATTATCATTCTACGTGACTTTACCGAAAGAACCAAAGAAGAAGACATATCAAGTCTCTGCGCTGTCTATTGCTGATTTTACACCCCAACAGCACGAGATTTCACTTCGTTAAAGTATTGAAAGGGGACGGACGGACGGACGGACACATGAATCTATTGCAGGCTGGTACGCTCAGCTTACAACTTCCTTCCTACCAGTATAAATAAACCTTTTGGCGAAAGCCCTTACCTTCAAGCCGTCTCCGGGTCGTCGTCGTCGGCGGGAGCTCCTCGACACATCCGTGACGAACGCCGGAGCCTTCCGTAGTTTTCATGCGCTTCAACGACGGGGGCGCAGGGACCACGCTGGGGTTCGATCTGCGGACGGCGGTCTTCTCGCACGACCAGCAGCTCCACGTCGCCTCATCCCGATCCCGCGATCCCAAACGGGCCGGAAGCCCGCCGTTTTGTCCCCGGATTCCCCCGGCGAGGCCCATCATCTACTTAACGCCGCGCGGGGGGGGAGGGGAAATCCACGCCAAGTGTCCTTTCCAACGAGGGCCCCCCTTTTCCAGATGTGACAAAAAAAAAACACGTGAGCTTTCGATGAAGAAATACAAATGACCCGATTCGAAACGTGACGCGAAGATGTTTAATTTTTTTTTTTTAAACTTCAAAGCGGGAGCTTCGGGCGCTTGTGTTGATGTGTCGTTCGTGTGCTAAAAAAAACAAACAACAAAACGCCGCGACTTTCCTGGCCGAAGGGCGTAAATTGTTGTCCGGGAGTCGCTTGTTATCAGTGTCCACGTGGTGGTGGTGGTGGTGGTGATGATGATGACGATGATGAATCCGTTGAGCTATGAAGCTCTTTTGAACAGATGCCCACGTGGACAAGTTATCACTCCCCCCACCCACCACCCCCCTCTCTCTCTCTGGTATCATCATCACTACCATCATCACTACCACCATCACCACCACCGTCACCACCACCGTCACCACCACCACCGTCACTGCTATTGTGAGGGCTAATGCCCCACTCCTCCTCTCCCCCCCCCCCCCTCCTCGCCGATCGAGCGATCGGCCCCCCCTGCGTCCAGCGTCCTCTCTGTGGGATACGGCTAGTGGCTGGCTCCCCACCGCCCGGGGTTACCCCAACACACTCCCCCACGGAAACCCGAGGTGGCGACTCGCGCGCGCTCGCGTGCTCGTACCCGTGCAGGTGCACGCTGCTCGCCCCCGCGCCTCGCCGCCAAAAATGAACACCGACGCTAATGCCGAGGTGGCAAGGACCGACGGCCACGGCTCGCGCCAAAAACAACGGACGACGCGATGGGAGTCGGAGGGACGAGGGCACCGAGAGGTCCCTGCCCGCGTCGATCCGTGGCTGCGCTCGGACGCACGAGCGGCCGGGGGAGTCCGGCTGGGCAGCCGGCTGGCCGGAGGAGAACTGACCGACGCCTCCCCACCGTCCCACCCTTGGATCTCTTTCCAATCCGGAAAATTCCCCGGCCAAGTTGTTGTTGCCCTCCCAGCCGAACGGGGCCCGACGTTCCGGCCCAAGCAAGGCCTGGGCGGCGAGCGACACCCTCCCGGCCAATCGGGCGCCTACCTGGCGAGAGGCTCTCCAACCAGTTTACTCTTTGGTTTTTTTGTTTTCGGTAAAGTCACGTATAAATAAGGAATAATAAAATAACACAATAGCGTGCGACGTTTCGGTTGCAACACAAGCAGCCATCGTCAGGTACAGAAGAGCTAAAATTTATGTCTGGTATGCTTCTCTCTCTCTCTCTATCTCCGTGTGTCCCCGGGTTGTATCTGTGTCAGTTTCCCCCCTACTTGGATGCCTGTGTATACATCTGAGGTTTACGCGTTTTCCCTCTCTCATAATTTTAAACTCTTCCGTACCTGACGACGGCTGCTTGTGTTGCAACCGAAACGTCGTGCACCATTACGTTACGTCACTGTTTCCTATTCGTACGTGACTTTACCGAAGGAAGAAAGAAAGAAAGAAAAAAAAACACACGCAAAGAGTAAACCCTGCGGTCACGAAAGCTTCGAATCGAGTCTCCGAGCAGTCGTCTACGTGACCGACGGACTGCTCATGCTTCCCGCGCGGCTCGCTGTCGCCCAGACCCCTCGGCAGTTTGGGGAACTTCCCTCCCCGCCCGCTCTTGCTCGGTTGTCAGCTTCAGCCAGCTGGCCAGGTGTTTGTGCTCTCGCCCCCCGCGGCCCCAACTCCCCCGCGTCCGCTGCGTCCTCACCGCGGTTGCTCAGTGAGCTCGCCGTTAATCCAGGGGGCGCCGCAGTGCAATTAGGCCTGGGGGCGGGGCGGGGCGGGGCGGGGGGGGTCGGCCAATCCCCTGGTACTGGGAAACCGTGGGACATCACCACTAGGGGGCCCTCTGCGTATAAACTCAGGGTGCCAGGTGACCCTCTACCCCACCCGCACGAGGCCCTACGTGGGTGTGTGTGTGTGTGTTTAGAGGGGGTGTGTGTATGTTTACAGGGTGTGTGTGTGTTTACAGGGTGTGTGTGTGTTTAGAGTGGGTGTGCGTGTGTGTGTGTTTAAAGGGTGTGTGTGTTTAGAGGTGGTGTGCGTGTGTGTGTGTGTTTAGAGGGGGTGTACGTGTGTGTGTTTAGAGGGTGTGTGTTTAGAGGGTGTGTGTGTGTGTGTTTAGAGGGGGGGGGGGGGTGTTTACAGGGTGTGTGTGTGTGTGTACAGGGTGTGTGTGTGTGTGTCTACAGGGTGTGTGTGTGTCTACAGGGGGTGTGTGTGTGTTTACAGGGTGTGTGTGTGTGTGTTTACAGGGTGTGTGTGTGTGTCTACAGGGTGTGTGTGTGTGTGTCTACAGGGTGTGTGTGTCTACAGGGTGTGTGTGTGTCTACAAGGTGTGTGTGTGTGTGTTCGTGTGGGGGGGGATTGCCAGGGGTTAACAGCCGCCGACAGAGTTGCTCCATTGCTGTGGCACCACCACCACAACCACCATCACAACCATCACCATCACAACCACCATCACCACCACAACCACCATCACAACCATCACCATCACAACCACCATCACCACCATCACCACCACCACCATCACCATCACAACCACCATCACCACCATCACCACCACCATCACCACCATCACAACCACCATTACAACCACCATCACAACCAACATCACCACCACAACCACCATCACCATCACCACCATCACAACCACCATCACCACCAGCATCACCACCACCACCATCACCACTAGCATCGCTACCATCACCTCCATCATCACCACCACAACCATCACCACCACCACCATCGCTACCATCACCACCATCATCACCACCACAACCATCACCACCACCACCATCGCTAACATCACCACCATCATCACCACCATCACAACCACTACCATCACCACCACCATGGCTACCATTACCACCACCATCGCTACCACCATCACCACCACCATCGCTACCACCATCACCAGCACCATCAATACCACCAACCATCACCACCATCGCTACAACCATCGCCACCATCATCACCACCAACACCACCACCACCATCGCTACCATCACCATGATCACAACTACCATTACCACCACCACGATCACCACCACCATTTCTACCATCACCACCATCATCACCACTAGCACCATCACTACCACCACCGTCACCACCACCATCGCTACCACCATCACCACTACCATCAATACCACCAACCATCACCACCATCGCTACCACCATCGCTACCACCATCACCACCACCATCACCACCACCACGACTCTAATCAAAGCCTCTCTCCCTCTCAACAGGAACTCCGACCAACGATGGCCGCTAAAACAGCACAGTGAGTGGTGGTGATTGTGTGCACGCACAAAGACAAAGCTCACCCGTGTAGCCTTCAAAGGCAGTAGAGGCAAGTGCTGTTAGCGAGTAGCAGCGCCTGTAAAGGCCGGCACGGCACACGATGGGGTGGGTGGCTACCAGCACCACGCCCGGCCGCCTTTGTCTCTCTAGTGGCGATGCTCACTATACGCCGCTCCAGATACTCATTTGCGGCTGAGTCTACCTAGTGGAGAGGCCATAGGGACGGGTTCAGGTAACCGTTGGTTCGTAGGGCATAATCTATAGATCTCTACCCCTCTCTCTCTCTCATCTGTAGATCTCTACCCCTCTCTCTCATCTATAGATCTCTACCTCTCTCTCTCTCATCTATAGATCTCTACCTCTCTCTCTCATCTATAGATCTCTACCTCTCTCTCTCATCTATAGATCTCTACCTCTCTCTCTCATCTATAGATCTCTACCTCTCTCTCTCATCTATAGATCTCTACCTCTCTCTCTCTCATCTATAGATATCTACGTCTCTCTCTCTCTCATCTATAGATCTCTACCCCTCTCTCTCTCATCTATAGATCTCTACCTATATCTCTTTCATCTATAGATCTCTACCCCTCTCTCTCATCTATAGATCTCTACCTCTCTCTCTCTCTCATCTATAGATCTCTACCCCTCTCTCTCTCATCTATAGATCTCTACCCCTCTCTCTCTCATCTATAGATCTCTACCTCTCTCTCTCTCATCTATAGATCTCTACCTCTCTCTCTCATCTATAGATCTCTACCTCTCTCTCTCTCATCTATAGATCTCTACCTCTCTCTCTCATCTATAGATCTCTACCTCTCTCTCTCTCATCTATAGATATCTACGTCTCTCTCTCTCATCTATAGATCTCTACCCCTCTCTCTCTCATCTATAGATCTCTACCTATATCTCTTTCATCTATAGATCTCTACCCCTCTCTCTCATCTATAGATCTCTACCTCTCTCTCTCTCATCTATAGATCTCTACCCCTCTCTCTCTCATCTATAGATCTCTACCCCTCTCTCTCTCATCTATAGATCTCTACCTCTCTCTCTCTCATCTATAGATCTCTACCCCCTCTCTCTCATCTATAGATCTCTACCTCTCTCTCATCTCTAGATCTCTACCTCTCTCTCTCATCTATAGATCTCTACCCCTCTCTCTCTCATCTATAGATCTCTACCCCTCTCTCTCTCATCTATAGATCTCTACCTCTCTCTCTCATCTATAGATCTCTACCCCTCTCTCTCTCTCATCTATAGATCTCTACCTCTCGCTCATCTATAGATCTCTACCCCTCTCTCTCATCTATAGATCTCTACCCCTCTCTCTCTCATCTATAGATCTCTACCCCTCTCTCTCTCATCTATAGATCTCTACCCCTCTCTCTCTCTCTCTCATCTATAGATCTCTACCCCTCTCTCTCTCATCTATAGATCACTACCCCTCTCTCTCTCTCATCTATAGATCTCTACCTCTCTCTCTCTCATCTATAGAGCTCTACCTCTCTCTCTCATCTATAGATCTCTATCTCTCTCTCATCTATAGATCTCTACCCCTCTCTCTCATCTATAGATCTCTACCCCTCTCTCTCTCATCTATAGATCTCTATCTCTCTCTCTCATCTATAGATCTCTACCCCTCTCTCTCTCTCATCTATAGATCTCTACCTCTCTCTCTCTCATCTATAGATCTCTACCTCTCGCTCATCTATAGATCTCTACCCCTCTCTCTCTCATCTATAGATCTCTACTCCTCTCTCTCTCATCTATAGATCTCTACCTCTCTCTCTCATCTATAGATCTCTACCTCTCTCTCTCATCTATAGATCTCTACCCCTCTCTCTCATCTATAGATCTCTACCCCTCTCTCTCTCATCTATAGATCTCTACCTCTCTCTCTCATCTATAGATCTCTACCTCTCTCTCTCTCATCTATAGATATCTACGTCTCTCTCTCTCATCTATAGATCTCTACCCCTCTCTCTCTCATCTATAGATCTCTACCTATATCTCTTTCATCTATAGATCTCTACCCCTCTCTCTCATCTATAGATCTCTACCTCTCTCTCTCTCATCTATAGATCTCTACCCCTCTCTCTCTCATCTATAGATCTCTACCCCTCTCTCTCTCATCTATAGATCTCTACCTCTCTCTCTCTCATCTATAGATCTCTACCCCCCTCTCTCTCATCTATAGATCTCTACCTCTCTCTCATCTCTAGATCTCTACCTCTCTCTCTCATCTATAGATCTCTACCCCTCTCTCTCTCATCTATAGATCTCTACCCCTCTCTCTCATCTATAGATCTCTACCTCTCTCTCTCATCTATAGATCTCTACCCCTCTCTCTCTCTCATCTATAGATCTCTACCTCTCGCTCATCTATAGATCTCTACCCCTCTCTCTCATCTATAGATCTCTACCCCTCTCTCTCTCATCTATAGATCTCTACCCCTCTCTCTCTCATCTATAGATCTCTACCCCTCTCTCTCTCTCTCATCTATAGATCTCTACCCCTCTCTCTCTCATCTATAGATCTCTACCCCTCTCTCTCTCTCATCTATAGATCTCTACCTCTCTCTCTCTCATCTATAGAGCTCTACCTCTCTCTCTCATCTATAGATCTCTATCTCTCTCTCATCTATAGATCTCTACCCCTCTCTCTCATCTATAGATCTCTACCCCTCTCTCTCTCATCTATAGATCTCTATCTCTCTCTCTCATCTATAGATCTCTACCCCTCTCTCTCTCTCATCTATAGATCTCTACCTCTCTCTCTCTCATCTATAGATCTCTACCTCTCGCTCATCTATAGATCTCTACCCTCTCTCTCTCATCTATAGATCTCTACTCCTCTCTCTCTCATCTATAGATCTCTACCTCTCTCTCTCATCTATAGATCTCTACCTCTCTCTCTCATCTATAGATCTCTACCCCTCTCTCTCATCTATAGATCTCTACCCCTCTCTCTCTCATCTATAGATCTCTACCCCTCTCTCTCTCATCTATAGATCTCTATCTCTCTCTCTCATCTATAGATCTCTACCCCTCTCTCTCTCTCATCTATAGATCTCTACCTCTCGCTCATCTATAGATCTCTACCCCTCTCTCTCTCATCTATAGATCTCTACCCCTCTCTCTCTCATCTATAGATCTCTACTCCTCTCTCTCTCTCTCATCTATAGATATCTACCTCTCTCTCTCTCATCTATAGATCTCTACCCCTCTCTCTCTCTCATCTATAGATCTCTACCTCTCTCTCTCTCATCTATAGATCTCTACCCCTCTCTCTCTCTCATCTATAGATCTCTACCCCTCTCTCTCTCATCTATAGATCTCTACCTCTCTCTCTCTCTCATCTATAGATCTCTACCCCTCTCTCTCTCATCTATAGATCTCTACCTCTCTCTCTCTCATCTATAGATCTCTACCCCTCTCTCTCTCTCATCTATAGATCTCTACCTCTCTCTCTCTCATCTATAGATCTCTACCCCTCTCTCTCTCTCATCTATAGATCTCTACCCCTCTCTCTCTCATCTATAGATCTCTACCTCTCTCTCTCATCTATAGATCTCTACCCCTCTCTCTCATCTATAGATCTCTACCCCTCTCTCTCTCTCATCTATAGATCTCTACCCCTCTCTCTCATCTATAGATCTCTACCCCTCTCTCTCTCTCATCTATAGATCTCTACCTCTCTCTCTCATCTATAGATCTCTACCCCTCTCTCTCATCTATAGATCTCTACCCCTCTCTCTCTCTCTCATCTATAGATCTCTACCCCTCTCTCGCTCTCATCTATAGATCTCTACCCCTCTCTCTCTCATCTATAGATCTCTACCTCTCTCTCTCTCATCTTTAGATCTCTACCTATATCTCTTTCATCTATAGATCTCTACCTCTCTCTCTCATCTATAGATCTCTACCTCTCTCTCTCTCATCTATAGATCTCTACCTCTCTCTCTCATCTATAGATCTCTACCCCTCTCTCTCTCATCTATAGATCTCTACCTCTCTCTCTCTCATCTATAGATCTCTACCTCTCTCTCTCATCTATAGATCTCTACCCCTCTCTCTCTCATCTATAGATCTCTACCCCTCTCTCTCATCTATAGATCTCTACCCCTCTCTCTCTCTCTCATCTATAGATCTCTACCCCTCTCTCGCTCTCATCTATAGATCTCTACATCTCTCTCTCTCTCGTCTATAGATCTCTACCCCTCTCTCTCAACTATAGAGCTCTACCCCTCTCTCTCATCTATAGATCTCTACCCCTCTCTCTCTCATCTATAGATCTCTACCCCTCTCTCTCTCTCATCTATAGATCTCTACCCCTCTCTCTCTCATCTATAGATCTCTACCTCTCTCTCTCTCATCTATAGATATCTACCTCTCTCTCTCATCTATAGATCTCTACCCCTCTCTCTCTCTCATCTATAGATATCTACCCCTCTCTCATCTATAGATCTCTAACCCTCTCTCTCATCTATAGATCTCTACCCCTCTCTCTCATCTATAGATCTCTACCCCTCTCTCTCTCATCTATAGATCTCTACCCCTCTCTCTCTCATCTATAGATCTCTACCCCTCTCTCTCTCATCTATAGATCTCTACCCCTCTCTCTCTCATCTATAGATCTCTACCCCCCTCTCTCTCTCATTTATAGATCTCTACCCCTCTTTCTCTCATCTATAGATCTCTACCTCTCTCTCTCATCTATAGATCTCTACCCCTCTCTCTCTCATCTATAGATCTCTACCCCTCTCTCTCATCTATAGATCTCTACCCCTCTCTCTCTCTCATCTATAGATCTCTACCCCTCTCTCGCTCTCATCTATAGATCTCTACGTCTCTCTCTCTCTCGTCTATAGATCTCTACCCCTCTCTCTCAACTATAGAGCTCTACCCCTCTCTCTCATCTATAGATCTCTACCCCTCTCTCTCTCATCTATAGATCTCTACCCCTCTCTCTCTCATCTA